CGGTGTGTCTCGCCCTCTGGCGCGAACAACTGAGGTAGGTCTCGCGCATCCTGTGAGGCAAAGAAAGAAACGCATTTTGGTCGCGGGAACGGGCGAACACAGGCCGGACGGCGTGGTGTCCTCACGGGAGCTGGCCTGTGGTGTGCTGGCGCAGGGGACCGAGGGGCTGTCACAGGGACCGCTCGGGGACTCAGCTGTGTTACCCTGCGGGGGACCCCGACCTGACGTGAAAGGCGGTCCGCGCCGGGCAGGAGGAGCACGACAGACGGTGAACGTCCCCTGCTCACAACCTCACGTCTGGGTTCCTCCAGCTGTTTTGTATTTAACAGGAGCTTAGTTAGGGAGTACTTCACATAGAGAGAGGGCACACACACGGTGCTCGCTGAGCTTGTCACGAAGCAACACAGTCTTGTAACTGACGCCCGATTCAGACACAGCGTAGCGCTTACGGCACCCCAGTCCCCGCTTCGCGGGAAGGTGGCAGCCGCCCAATTGTCCTCTGTCCGTCCAGACGGCAGGAACCTGTGCAGGAGACCATTGGGGGGCCTTCTTCTCTGGGCCTGCACAGAGTAGGGGACACGCTGCCATCCCTCAGGAGGCCCCCTCTCCACTTGGCCGCCAGTCCCCATCCTGCCCCGGGCAGTGGCCCCACCTCCAGCACTAACCCTCTACCCGCTTCTAGGAAGGCGCCGTCTGCACTCTGGCTCCTCACTCGGTGACATCTCGGACTGTCCGTGCTGCGTGCGCATCCCGTGCGGCCCGCGGCCCGGCTGCTGCAGCCCGTTCACCTGTGCACCTGCTGCATCGTTACCGACACTGCCGCGGGCGTGTACGTGCACATAACACATTCCCGTTTCTCGTGACAAACAGCCGTTGGTGCTGTTTCTGGAACTTACGGTAAGTGTATGTTCGACTTCCTTAGAGACCGCCAAACCATCTTCGCATGTGGTTGTGCCGCATCGCGCCTTGACCAGCAGTGTCTGAGCCTCCCCGGTGCCCATTCCCGTTGGTCCTGTCATTTCAGACTTGGTGGCAGTGTGCGTCTCTGATGTTAAGCATCTTTCTCTATGCTAACCGTTCCTTACCTCTTCTGTGAAGTGTCTGCACAAATATGTTGCTTTTTTTGCAACGGGACTGGTGAGCATTTATTTATGAGTGCCAGAGCCTCCTTATGTGTCCCGGGTGCTCGTCTCGTCACATTCCCGCTCCGGAGTGGAGCCGTTCATCCTTGTACGTCGATTCTCCCTCAGAGTCTCCAGGCATCTTCCCACACCTTGATTTCAGACTTCCGGCCTCCAGAACTGGGGGAGAGGAAGTTTCTGTTGCTTTAAGCCTCCGATTAGCAGCCCCAGGACACTAGTCCTGCCTCCGAGTACTTCAGCGTGCGTCTCCTGAGAGCAGGGACACTTACACACACGACACGGCATCACACTCCGAAGACTTCACGTTGTCTAATGGACGAGCCGCCAGTAATGTGCTTTACATCATTTTCCCCCAAATCCAAAACCCAGTCCCGGGTCATGCCTTCATTTGGTTGTCCTGGTGTTTTGGTGGTGCTGGTTTCCAGGAATTTTGCAAGCTCTTTGTCAAACACCGCCGTTATTAGAAATTAAGTTATATACACCTATAACTAATTAAATTATATTGGAAACAAAGGTAACAAGGGCACAGAGCTCAGCGCTTCCTCATTACTACATCGTGCTGTTACCTAAGCTCTCGGGCTGTGTATGTCGATTGTGGCGGTTTGACCACACGCTGTGTGACCGTGTGTTCTGCGCGTCCCCGCCCACGTCTGCGTTCGGTGACCTCACCTCGGCAGCTTGAAATTAGCCAGGGCGGGAGTATCTCTACCGTGGAAATCGGCAGACACTACAACTCTTCCTCTGGGAACCTGTTGTCCACCGTTCGTGGCACACGGCTACCCTCTAGTTCCCTTTGTCTTTCGTGACTGTATTTTTTTAAGAATGCAGGCCAGTTTGGGACAGTGACCCTGTTTCGGCTTGCCTGAAGGCTCCGCGTTACCAGATTCAGGCCGGCCAGCGTGTTCCGTATGTGGTAACGTGAGCCCCGTGGTTCCGCTTACTCATTCTTTCTCCCAGCTTTGGGGGTGACGTGGCCCGCGGTGGTGCTGAGTGGACCGAAAAGCTTGACTGGTGCCCCAACACCCTGTGCGTCTGAATGTGCTCTGGAGACGACAAGGCAGCCCAGTGGGGATCCAGCCCGACTTGCTTTCTATCTGTCACTAAGGCAGTGACTTTGCAGAAGGGAATCCCCCCCCCCCCCACACACACACACACCCTCACTGCTGCCAGGACTTGGTGAATGTTTATATGGATCTGGAGTAAAAAAGGCGGGGCGGGGGGACGCCTGGGGGTCAGTCGGTTAAGTGTCCCACTCTTGATTGCCACCCGGGCCACGATCTCATGATTTGTGAGATCGAGCCCCGCGTCGGCTCCGTGCTGACAGTGCGGAGCCTGCTTGGGATTCTCTGCCTCCCTCTCTGCCCCTCCCCTCCCTCTCAAAATAAAGAAATAAACTGAAAAAATAAAATGGACCGGGTAGCGCTGGCTTTCAGTTTTGCCCTGCGTTACACGTTTTCCTGGGTGACCTGGGGCCGGGCACCGGGGCGGTTTTCTCGTGGGCATTTCCGTAACTCGGCGTTGCTCCCCCAGCTCCCAGACGGTGTGGGCACTCACGGCCACCGCACAGCCTCACAGGTGCGCCCCCACTTACCTGGGTGTGGGGCACCCTCGTCAGCCCGGTCGTTGTTGGACACGGGCCTCTGGAGACACTGCCAGGACACAGGTCAAGGTCAGGGCCCAGGTGCCGGAGAAGGCCCAGCGCCTGCGAGTCCACAGAAATGGACCGAGAACGACAGCTCATCCCCACGCAAGCAGCCCGTAACCACTGTCACCGTGGGACTTCAGTACCCACGTGGGATCGGCACAGAATTTAACTGACTTTCTGGAAAACGGGGGTGCGCATCGGGGTGAGGGAAAATCCTACTTTCCAGGCAGAGTCTGCAGGAGGCAGGGGGCTGCACACCCTCCTATGGTGAACCCCATTGTGTCGGCCTCTGTGTCCCCTCCTCTGTGACACACAGCCATGTGTGAACCTCCCTGCGTCCTGACAAGGGCCCACGTATTTGTGCACGTGCGTGTAGTTACAGAAGCAGGCCTAAAGGGCCGTGTTAGCTAACGCTTTCATTTGGTTCTTTTTGTTTTTAGTATTTTTAACATTTATTTATCTTTTAAAGAGAGAGAGAGAGGCAGAAAGAGGTAAACAGAAGATCTGAAGCGGGCTCCATGCTGTGAGGTTTGAACCAAAGAACCGTGACGTGAGATCATGACCTGAGCCGAAATCAAGAGTCAGCCACTTAACCGACTGAGCCCCCCAGGTGCCCCTAACGCTTTCGTTTTGAAATGTAACCAACCTTAGCGAGTATAAGAGGCTGTTTAAATCCATTGATTTTCCTATGTTAATTTCAGCACCTTGAAAAATGTGTTTATTTGCAGAGAAAACAGGAAGAAGCATGTGTGGAATTGTGTGACAAACGTCTACTTTTTCTGTCTCTGTGCATTTCAATTTCTTTACAAGTTTTCAGGCAAACAACTTAGTATTAACCCAAGACCCAAAGTCAATTAGGAATTTTAAAAGTTGTGTTTAGATTGGGAAGAAAGAATAACGAAATCACTGGTGGCATTAACATTTGCAGCAGATGAAACAGACAGGAACAGACACTTCTCCAAAGGAGACATCCAGATGGCCAACTGACATGAAACGACGCTCAACATCACTCAGCACCGAGTCAAATACAAATACAAATCAAAACCACACCGAGATACCCTCCCGCCGGTCAGAGTGGTTACAATGAACAACTCAGGAAACAACAGATGCTGGCGAGGATATGGAGAAGCGGGAACCCTCTTGCACTGTTGGTGGGAACGCAAACGGGTGCAGCCGCTCTGGAAAACAGTGTGGAGGTTCCTCAAAAAACTAAAACTAGAACTACCCTATGACCCAGCAATTGCACTACTAGGCATTTATCCACGGGATGCAGGTGTGCTGTTTCGAAGGCACACATGCACCCCAGTGTTTATAGCAGCCCTATCGACAATAGCCAACGTATGGAAAAAGCCCAAATGTCCATCGATGGATGAATGGATAAAGAAGATATATATATATAAACACTCAGCAATCAAAAAGAGTGAAATCGTGCCATTTGCAACAACGTGGATGGAACTAGAGGGTATTATGCTAAGCGAAATTAACCAGTCAGAGAAAGACAAATATCATATGACTTCACTCATATGAGCACTTTAAGATACAAAACAGATGAACATAAGGGAAGGGAAATAAAAATAATATAAAAACCGGGAGGGGGACAAACATAAGAGGCTCTTAGATACAGAGAAGAAGCAGAGGGTTGCTGCAGGGGTTGTGGGAAGGGGGATGGGCTAACGATAAGGGGCTGGATTCCACACCTGAAGTCATTATTGCACTAGATGCTAACGAACTCGGATGTGAATTTAGTAATAACACTTGCCCAGATAAACAAGACGTTTGATTTTATTTTTATTCCCAAGTCAGTACAGCTTTGATTGCATTTTTAAAACATCACCAATATTGGGGCACCCGGGTGGCTCAGGCGGTCAAGCGTCTGACTCTTGGTCTCAGCCCAGGTCACTGTCTCGTGGTTCCTGGGATCAAGGCCCACGTCAGGCTCCCGTCTGGCCGTGCAGAGCCTGCTTGGGATTTTCTCTCCCTCTGTCTCTACCCCTCCCCTGCTCGCTCACTCTCTCTCTCTCTCTTTCTCAAAATAAATAAAACCTTTAAAAACAAGTAAACGAAATAAAATATCACCGATAAATCTGGAAAATCATCAGCGTCTTGCTGTTTCCGTGGCTGGACAACTTACATCTACTCATCAGCCTGCTGAACTGTTCCTTTTTTGGAAACAGATACCATCCAACATGTTCTGACATCCTTGTTTTTAATTCTTGTGGCTTGCTGAATCAAAGCAGCTGAGTTTGATGCAAGTTCAGTGTCCCTTCCTTCAAGAATTAACTCATCTTTCTGGGCTTGAGATACTGAACAAGCAAGACCTGGCCTCGTCCGAATCCTCTGGGTGTTTTCTCACCCAAGAAATGTTGGGTTCCTAGAAGAGAACCACTCTCCCGAGTAACGGCGCTGATGGGGGGGCGCGCGTGCCCGGCCCTCCCGCTGTAACGGAAGCAGTGCCCTTGATCACGTTCTGGCCGGGGCTGCAGGTGGCGCGGCCAGCGCTCAGTTCTCTTCTCTTCCCCTCCGTTGCAGCCGGGAACCTCTTCTTTCTCCAGGAGACTGAGTCCTCCGTCGATGTGACTGAAGTCCCTCCGCAGGGTTCCCCGGGGGTGCATCCCTTCAGGGTGACATCCGCATTTTCTGGAATGTCGACAGTCGGCTGACACTGGTCTCCACCCCCGAGGTAGATGCGGCAAAGGGCAAACACGGCACTTCCTGCCACAGGGAAGGCGCTGCGGCCGGCCACAAAACCCACGGTGTGCGCGGAGTTCGCGAGACCCGCCTACTTCCGCCAAGATGCTGGTGGCGGGGGTCCTGGCTCGTTTTGCTCGGTGACACCAAGAGTCTTCAGTATGTCCCTCAGGTGAGGATAGCCCACCTCCCCTAAGACAGCGCACAAGTTAGGGACCCCCGTTCAATGACCTGCTTGCTTGTACTGTTTCATTCGTATGAGGTGCGTGAAGGAAAATAAATTCCACATAGCGGGTTGGCAATATGTTGTCACACATGAAACAAGAGAAAACATAATGGCTTGACTCTTAAGCAAAGATTCACCAAATAATTTTATGCGTGATCAGATTATCCAGTAGCTTTGGGTTTGTTTTTTTTTTTTATTTATGCAACTTTTTTGTTTCTTTTCCCTCTTGAGCCCTGTTAGATCTCCACCGTCAGTGCAGAGGGCTCCCCGAGAGTGTGGACACACACTGACTGCCAGTCTGGGCCTGGGTGACCCGGCAGCAGGGACTTGAAGGCCGTCACACCCACATCGCCTCCCGCATAGGGAGAGGGAGGGTCCGTGTTTTAAAGCATTTCAGGGCGCCTGGGTGCCTCCGTTGGTTTGGGCTGACTCTCGGTTTCGGCTCAGGTCATGACCTTGCAGTTTCGTGGGTTCGAGCCCCGCACCGGGCTCTGCACTGACAGGGTGGAGCCTGCTTGGGATTCTCTCTCTCTGTCTCTCTCTGCTCCTCCCCCACTCGTGCTGTCTCTCTCAAAGTTAAACTTAAAAAAAAATTTTTTTTAATAAAATGGAAACATTTCGAGGGGCACCTAGGTGGCTCCCTTGTCACCTGGGCCAACTTCAGCTCAGGTCGTGATCTTGCGGTTCGTGAGTTTGAGCCCCGCGTCGGGCTCTGTGCTGACGGCTCGGAGCCTAGAGCCTGCTTCCGATTCTGTGTCTCTTTCTCTCTGCCCCTCCCCTGCTTGTGCTCTGTCTCTGTCTCTCTCAAAAATAAATAAGAACATCAAAAATAAGCATTTTTAATTTTTTTTCAACGTTTTTATTTATTTTTGGGACAGAGCGAGACAGAGCATGAACGGGCGAGGGGCAGAGAGAGAGGGAGACACAGAATCGGAAGCAGGCTCCAGGCTCTGAGCCATCAGCCCAGAGCCCGATGCGGGGCTCGAACTCACGGACCGCGAGATCGTGACCTGGCTGAAGTCGGACGCTTAACCGACTGCGCCACCCAGGCGCCCCAAAAATAAGCATTTTTAGAAAACCAGAGTGGTCTCGGGGAAGGGCCTAGGTCTTTGTCTAGAACGCGTCTCAGGTGATGTGCGTGTCTGGCAGGTGACATAAGATGACACAAATCTGGGGGCCCACCCCAGTGATGCTGCTCCTGACCCTGGCCACAGGGTCACAACCATTGCTCGGCTGCATTTCCCGTTTAGACGAGCAAGTGATCTGTGGGGGTCACACTGACGTCGGAGGGACTGCGCCCTCGGTGCCACCAAACACCTGGGACGTGGTGGCTCATCCTCCCGGTCACTGAGCCACCCAGAATGCACCTGTAACTTCCTCATGGGGTTTCCAGCCCCTGTCACTGGCTGTCCTGACTCTCGAAAATAAAGCAGCACTAGCCGTAGGTCGGAGACTAGAAGTTACCCTTTCGGGATGAGATAAGGAGACTTGAGGTGGAGCATCTGTGACGATGACGCAGACCATCCCTCTTCCTCCCACGAGCCCGGGGCCAGGAGTGTTCAAGACACCATCAGGGCGTCCTGGGCACAACCTCAGAAAGGCGTTACCGGATTATATTTAAGCTGAGATTACTATTCTCGAAGGAGGCACAGGGGCTCCGAGGGCGTCCTCCCTGGAATGAAGCATGGTCCTGGCAGCTGACCCCGGAGGAGGGCGTGACGTGTGACAAACGGCTCCTGGGACAGACAGCTGTCCACGGTGGCTGCACGGGAGTCCAACGGACGTGTGGACGGGGCCAGGTCCCAGCTGCTCGGCACGGTCATGGCTTCCGCCCCCCTCACCTCTCCCCTCCTTCTAGACCCAGTTGTAAAAGTCTCCCCACTTCCCGGAAGCACCCCCTGCCCCCTGCCACCCGTCATTCTTTCAACCAAGAAGCATCAATGTCCCCGAAGACACGTGGGGTTCAGTAAGCGTTCTCGATAAAAAGCCAGATAGCAACAGTTTCAGGAATTGCAGACTGTGTATGGTCTCTGTACGTGGTATTTTTTTTTTTTTTAACAACCTTTTAAGAATGTAAAATCCCTACTTCCCTCACTGGCCAATAGAGTGTGTTGATCTTTTCAAATTATGATCAGAATATGCGATGCCATTTCTCATCACCTCTCAAGGCTTCCCAGCACACTTAGAATAAAATATGAAAATTCACCCTCCTCCCCAGGGCCCAGCACGACCTGGGAACTGCCAACTCCCTACCACATCTCTGTCACCCCCGACCTTGGCCACGTGGGCCTGGAACATTCCCGCTCCTATGGGCCTGTCGGCCTTTGTTCTTGCCGCCATCTTGGAGCGCTCTCAGCAGCCATCACCACGGTCGATTCTAGAACGCTGCTTTGCTTCCGCAAACAACTCTGTATCCTTGACCATCTCCCACCACCCCGGCCTCTGGCAATCACGAATCTCCTTTCTGGCTCTCTCACGTGAATGGAATCGCACAGCACGTGGTCCTTTTGTCTGACTTACTCGCTTAGCGTCATGTTTTCAAAGTCTGTCTGCTTTTCTAACACACACCAGTACTTCTTTTCCTTTCCATCACCAAATAATATTCCATCGTGTGGATAGACCGAGACTGGGCATCCATTCGGGCTGTTTCTACGTGTTTGGTTGTCATGTGTGAATAATGCTACGGACGTTTATATACGAGTTTTTGTATATACCCGGGAATGTCGTATGACAGTTCTGTATTTCGCCATCTGAGAAACTGCCGGACGATTTTCTAGCGTGGCCGCCTCGTTTCACGTTCTCACCAGCCCTGTGTGGGAGCTCCTGTCCCCTCCACAGCCTTGTCAACACTGGTGAGAGCTCATTTTTCTGACCACCTAGTGCTGGCTACATGGTTTTGATTTCTATTTCTCTGAGGCCTAACGGCGTTGAGCGACCTTCATGTGCATATTGGCTGTTCATGGGTCTTCTTTGCAGACACGTCCCCTCAGATCCTTTCTCAGTGACGTCTATGCTCACAGGTCCCCTGCTCAGAGCTTCCTCGCTCACGGGTGTGACATGCTCTCTGTCTCACCCACACCTATTCCAGTGCTTGTAAATAGTGGTTCCTAGCCCCTCGATAGGGCCTGACATTTCCACCAGCTTCTGGAGCTGAAACGTCCTTGAATAAGTGAATTCATGAGCTCGTTTCAGTAATTGCTTAAATCAGGAGGTCAAACTTCACATATGAGGTCAGCTTGTTGAATCAGACCCTTGGATCCTTGACTTTGTGTCCTTAGATGAAGGCCATGCACCTCCATTCAGTTTATTTACATTTGTTTTAGTTAGTTTTGAGAGAGAGCGTGAATGGGGGGGTGGGGGCAGGGGGGGCAGAGAGAGAGGAAGACAGAGAATCCCGAGCAGGCTCTGCACTGTCAGCGCAGAGCCCAACTTGGGGCTTGAACTCATAACCATGAGATCGTGACCTGAGCCGAAATCAAGAGTCAGATGCTCAACCGACTGAGCCACCTGGGTGCCCCTCCATCCAGTTTATTGAAAGAGCCAGATACCACAGCATCTAAGCAAAAAACCAACTTTGTTTTCCGACTGTCCCTTTCAACCCCTGATCTGAATCGTTGTCCGTCCCGGGTAGAACCCCATTCTGCGTGTGTCCGACTTACTCAGCGTAGGCCCATCAAGCGGGCACCATACACCAAGCACTTTCCTACGCCCAGGAGTGAACACCGTGCGTAAGAACTCAGCGGCCCCTCTGTTTTGACATTGAAAGTCAAGTACGGACTAAGATGGGCCGGACTCCAGTTCATGCTAGGTAGTAAAATTCAACTCGAGGTTAATTTCCCCTCCCCGGTCGGGCTGGACACGGAGGAGGGGGTGGGAGCTGGGAGCCAGGCTGCCCTCACAGCAAGGCATCTGGAGGCGGCGTAACATCCCCAAAGCAACGGAAGAACAAGTAAACAGGAAAATCAGTGGGTTTTTGACTTTAAAGGACCAAAAGAAAGGAAGACCTGGGACTTGGTGTTACACTAGAACGTTCAGTGGGAAAAGCTCAAACACAATATAACAAAGCAAACTATTTAGGTACAACCAACAACTAGGACGTCCTTAAAGCTGGTGTGCGGGCGCTGCCTGGCGGGGTCCCAGGAAACGAGTGTGTGTGTTTGGGGGGATCTCCCTGTCATCTGTCCCCTGACAGCAAGTTGCAGGGAGTTCCTGGAAATACTGATGAGCAGGGGTCCCGGGATCAATTCACTCCCCACATTGAGCTGCAGTGTAGCCAGTATCTTAGAGAAAAGCCCGGAGGCAGGGGGAGGTCCCTCTTGGGGCCTGCGCCCCGTGGAGAGGCCGGGGGTCTGCAGAGGCCCTGACTGGGGCGGGACAGTTTGCCCCAGCATTTGCCCCCAGCCCCGGGGTGCTGCCCTTGGCCTTGCTGGAGGGGAGGGCCGGAGAGGTGGAGTCCTGGGCGAGCGATGGGGTGAGGGACCCTGGGGGCGCTAGGACCAACCTTAGCTCCGTCCCCCGAGAGACTTGGAAACCAGCCATCGGCGTGGGGTTACAGGCCCCTCAAGATGTAGGGGACCAAAATGACGCTAAGTGTAAGACACAAGGCCACATGGCACATGACTCCCTTTGTGGGAAACGGTCAGAACAGACAAGTCCGTGGGGAGAGACGGCAGAGCGGCAGCTGCTGCGGCTGGAGGAGGGGGTTTGGGGGCTCGCTGCCAGTGGGCGTGGGGTTCTGTGGGGGGTGATGCAAAAATTCTGGGACTAGACAGAGGCAGCTGATGCCACTGAAGGTACCAAAGCCACGGAGCTGTGTGTTGAGTGTTTTATCTCGGGGAAAAAAAGGGGACAAAGTAGGATCAGTGCTAACTATCCTTGGGGTCCCTTAGTCATTCGCAAGGGAAGTGGTCCAGCGAAGCAGCCCAGAGCCCGCCCCCCCGCCCAGCGTGCCGCTGTCCCCTCCACCTCCCGCCCTCCGGGGTGACGCTGTAGACGGAAGCTTACCAGAGAAATCTCCAGAGATGGCCAATCTTCTGACACCCGGGGGACTACTGAGCAGACGGAAGGGCCCCCTTTAGATCTTGTCTGAAAGACATCGGTCACGTTCCCTTTCAGCAGTGGCACAAAACTAGATGCGGAACCTGCATGCCTCTTACATGGCTCCCGTGTCCTGACATCCAGCGTCTCAAGGTGGTCGGCGTGGCCCAGGTCACAGGGCCGTGGAGAGCACGGTCTCTGAGCCGGGAAGGTGCCCCTGGGACCCCAACTCATCAGGGAGCTCGGACGGCTCTGAACGATCGGGTTCTGTAGATGTTTCTCTCTGTGAGGAACATGGGCCTCCTCCCTGGTCCCACATCTTACTCTGGTGCCTGGATCTGAGCTCGGGAGGGCGCTCACAGCCAGGCCAGGCCCATGGGCCCCCGGGGGGCCCGGACCCTGGGGGGTTGGCCGTCGGGACACTCTGCGTCCGGGGAGGTATGACCTGGATTATGTCCCTTATGTCCCCAACACGCGCCAAAGGACCGAGCGGCCTTGAGGGAGAAGCTCGCGATAGCAAAGACATGGGTCAGAAGTAGCGAATGCCCAAGACGCCCTATCAAGTGCATACGCGCAACTCTCTCCTTGGGCCGATCTCAGGACTCCTCCTGGTTGGCAGGTTACCAGGTGGGAAGGGAAAGCCACTCGCAGCAGCCGAACGCTGACCCCGACGACCGCAGCTCCGTGGGACCCAGCCGGAGCGTTTCCGGAGACGAGCACTTTTCTCGAGATACGTTGGAGGAAACCTGTGCCCTCTCTCTCTCCTAGTGGACGGGCCTCAACCAGTGGGGTAGTTAAGTCCCACCTTTTTGAAACGTTTCAAGGAGTGTTCTAACTGCGGTCAATCCAGCCTCCTCTTGGTTCGTATTTTCGAATGCTCGCTATTTCTGCCCCAACAGCAAAAAGTAAATGTGACATGTGAGCTGCCAGAGTGTTTCTGGTTTTTTTAATTAAAAAATTTGTTTTAATGTTTATTTTTGAGAGAGAGAGAGAATGAGCAGGGGAGGAGCAGGGAGGGAGACACAGAATCTGAAGCAGGCTCCAGGCTCTGAGCCGTCAGCACGGATCCTGACGCGGGGCTCGAACCCACGGACCGCGAGATCGTGACCTGAGCCGAAGTCGGACGCTTAACCGACTGCGCCCCCCAGGCGCCCCAGGAGTGACTGTTTTTTAAGTATATCCTTCCCCTTCCTCTAAATTCATGAGACAATCCAGGGGCGCCTGGGGGGCTCAGTCACTTAAGGGTCCGGCTCCGGCTGGGGTCATCAGGCTCTGTGCTGACAGCCCGGAGCCCGGAGCCTGCTTCGGATTCTGTGTCTCCCCGCTCTCTCTGCCCCTCTCCTCCTCGTGCTCCCACTCTCGAAAGTAAATAAATAAAAATTTTAAAAAAGAATATAATGCTCTGTTTTCTGGCTCTTGTAAAATATTATAAAATAGATACACTAATTACATTAAACTTTACTCTTTATTAAATGTAATCTTGACTGTCTTTAGTAATCTGTCGTACAGGATGCATTCTTTTGTTTAATTCTCGGTAGGTTCTGTAATATTCCTGGAAATGTTTGTTAGCATTCACATCGTAAAATGAAGTCACTTTTTGGCTGACACGTTTGATGAGTAGGATTATATGCATAGTTTTTCCATAAATTGAATGAACTAAGTTTGCAGCTCTAAGGGTTCGGCAAAAATTGAAGAAGGAGTCAATGCCGTTTAACTTTTAAGACACTTTATTGGAAAAGGTATACGGGGAGTAACGACACCGTCATGTCCCCCAGCCCTGTGTACCCATGTCCCCCATGTCCCAGGTGGCCGAGGAACCCGTGTCCCCCATGTCCCAGGTGGCTGAGGAGCAGGGCCTTTGCACACCCACGCAGCCTCGACTGGCAGCGCGAGTCCCACCTAATTTTAGTTTTCAAGGTTTTCAAGGTATTTATTTTCCTTTCGGCTCCTCTAACTCATACAACCAGTTTGTCAATGGCCATGTTTTTAAAACGCCCCCCGGGGTTTTGAATCAGTTGCTTTTGCTGTAACAACACGGGGATTTCACCGTGAGCCTTCGCGCCCCCCCCCCCGTGCCCTTGGCCAGGAGGCTCCCTGTGCGCGCTGGGGCCGGGCCGAGTGCCTCTGGCTGACCCAGGTGAACTGTGGGGAGAGGCCAAGGCTGCGGTCGAACCACACAACCACACCACCCCACTAAAGTCTCCTGGGGCCACTGCGAACATTGAGTCAGCATCAATGGAGTGAGAAATGAACGTTCCCAAAGGAGAGGGGCAGGAACAACGACTGGGGGACAGGAATCCGGCCTGCCACACCTTTCTCGCAGACACGCAGACTCTCCTGGGGCCGTAAAAGATCCTTGGGAAAGCCGGGTGATTTCCAGCGCTCAGCTTCCCCCCCCCCCCAAAACGGAGCGAATTGGATTGAACTGTCAGCTGTAAGTCATGACACCGTTAACCGTTGGCAGGAGATCACCTCGCGATTTTCGCAGGCGGCGCGGAAGGGGCTCAGACACCCCCACGGCCACAGCAAAATTTCCCATCTACTATTTGTAGGAACACAGCTCGCAGCCCCGACGGCTACAGAAACGGGAAACAAGACCAGAATCGTGTCAGGTCAGCAAGGAGTCAGTCATTCCCGGACCCGCGAAGTCGTGGGCAAAGAAAGCCCCACGCTTTTCTTTACGAGGTGCGACTCCAACAAAATTGTTCTTTTCGTGGCCAATAATTATTATTCCAAGTTTATAATATATGTGTATTTTTTAGGCAGTTGTGAGCTGATCATTATGCAAAATAACTCCAGAGGAATTTTTCCAACACTGAGAGGCTTGCGGGAAGTAAAACAAATTTTAAAATTTCAACGTATAGATACAACGTATAGGAACATGTAGAGTGATCAGTAAGACTTTGAGATGTAAAAGTATTAACTCGGGATAAATATCTGCCGAAGAATTTAAATGGGAATACGAGCTCTGGGGGTAACAGAAAGATCAAGTATCTAAATGCCAAAAAAGAGATTGATCAGGTTCCGTTTTTTAATGGATCATGTTGGATCCAATCAATGCATTTATTTTCCATCTGGTTACATTTTAAAAAGTGATAGGACACTTTTGTTTTAAGTGTCAGTATTTACCACATGCCAGGAACTGTATTCTTTGTAACTATTTAAACTTACGAGATCCGCTAGGTGTCAGCTTAGTGTGTGAGGGGGATAGAAATCCTGAGTTATTTCAGGGGGTAGGTGAACAGAGCCGGAGGCGATGTTGCCATACGCACCAGTGAGCCTCACGGAGAGACTGAGACACCAACCGCACAGGCGCACCTGTCAGGGGGTGGCCGTGCCGCTCAGGTTCAAAGCCCGGCTGTGCCTCTTACTGGCCGTGCGGTCCCTCCGCCTCAGTGTCCCCATCGGTAGCACCAGGGGAGCCCTCCGAGGATTGAACGAACGACGGCGCCTGCGTGATGCTGAGAACGCGGTTGGGCCAGAAGCAGAGAACGCCAGTGGTTATTTAACCGTGATAGAAACCCTTTCTGGGATTTTGGGGGGTGCGCGACCCCATGGGACGGTGGAAAGCTCTTCCCGTCTCGGGGCCACATGCTCAGTTCTGCTTTTGCAAGAAACACAGAACAAGACGCTTCCCTTTGCGCCGGTGGGAGCCCAACCAGAGGCCTGAAGCAGCACCCCCACCCCCGATCGACGGGCACCCTCCTCTGCTGTGACCACACGGCCTCTAGATGTGTCTCAATTCTGGTTGCTTCCTCCGAGTGGGGCTGTGGAGAAACACTTTTTTTTTTTTCAACGTTTTTATTTATTTTTGGGAGAGAGACAGAGCATGAACGGGGGAGGGGCAGAGAGAGAGGGAGACACAGAATCAGAAACAGGCTCCAGGCTCCGAGCCATCAGCCCAGAGCCCGACGCGGGGCTCGAACTCCCGGACCGCGAGATCGTGACCTGGCTGAAGCCGGATGCTTAACCGACTGCGCCACCCAGGCGCCCCAGAAACACGGTTTTGAAAGAGGACTTCGGGTGAGTCTGGGCCACCCCTCCCAGAGTAACCACTATGTGCCAGGCCCTGCAGCAAGGACGAGGCATGTGTCCCCTCGCTCCTGACCATGGCTGGCCTATGGGTCCCGGTGAGGACACCGTGCGAACGCAGCAGGGGTGCAGGACGCGAGACCAATCCCAGAGCTGTGGGACTTCACCCCCTGCCCCTTTGGAGAAACGAGGCCATCTAGCCTCCGCGAGCTGCCGTTCATGGCACGGAAACCCAGCACTACGTAAACACTAGGCGTTCTTCTTGCGTGCCTCAGTGTTCCTCGCGTGGAACTCTCCGGAGCGGAGGTGATGTTCTAGATGTGGGCCGGCCAAGGAGACCTCGGCGTCCTGGGGCCCCCTCCGGCACGAAAAGCTAGATGTCCACAGCCTACTTCTGGGCTAGCTTCTCAGCCGTAGGCTCAGGGTGTCCTCAAGTGAGGAAGGGGGGCAGGACAGCCGGCACCGAGGTGGGGAGGGGGCAGGGACCGTCCCGAGGAGTCGGGCCACACTAGGGCGTGTCTTCACCCCCATAAGCAGCAGGACGCAGGAAAAGTTGGACCAGCAGGAACGCGGTCCAGCAGACTTCAGAGAGCCCGGAGAGTGGCCTGGAGGGGTGCGGAGAGGGGGTAGGAGTGGACTGCATCAGGTGGGGCCGGAGGCGACGCGGTAGACGAGCCAAGATGACGGGGAGGTGGCATCACGATGGTGCCGATGGGCTGGGGGTGGCGGAGAGGGAACTTCGGGTAGAAGACACTTGATGATCCCCCTGCCAGTTCAGAACAGGCCCCAGTGTCCCCCTCCTGCCCTTCCAGAGCCCCTGATCCGGTGGGTCTGTGGTGGTCTCGCCTTGGGACTTTAATATCCTTCGCCCTGATCACCGAGGCGAGTGCCCTTTTCACGCCCTTACTGGCCTTCTGCGCTTCTCTTTTTGAAGCGTCTGAGTGTTTTGCCAATTTTCTACTGGGTTGTGTTTCTTTAGAAATTGTTTAACTCCCTTATGGCTTCTGGGTCTTTGGCTGGTTGATGGCCATATGTGGCTCAAAGTCTCCTCCCGCTCTCTGGGCTTTTCCACACTTTATGATGCCCTTCTTGGACTTTTTATTACGGAAATTCTCAAATATGTGCAAACATTGAAGAGTGCAGTGACCCCCTACGCCCATCACTTGCCTTCCTCCATCTCTAGTCCCTACTGGGTAACTTGGAAGCAAAGTCCAGCAGTGGCCCCTTCATGCTGGGGAGTGCTTCGATTTAATGCTCTAGAACACCAGCACTCCTGGTTTTTTTGTTTTTTTGTTTTGTTTTTACTGACATAATCAAAAACCATCATCCCAGCTCAAAATGCTAATAATTATCCCTCGATATCACCAAACAGCCTATCAGAATTCAAATCTCCCTAATAGTCTCATGGTTTATTCCCAGTTAAAAAAAAAAAATAATAAATCCAAAAAGAAGGCTCACTTAAAATGCCTTTTGATGAGCAGTTCTTTTTTTTTTTTTTTAATTTTTGAAAAGTTTAAAATTTATTTTTGAGACAGACAGAGAGAGACAGAGCACAAACGGGGGAGGGGCAGAGAGAGAGAGGGAGACACAGAATCCGAAGCCGGCTCCAGGATCTGAGCCGTCAGCACAGAGCCTGATGTGGGGCTCGAACTCACAGGTCATGAGATCATGACCTGAGTGTAAGTCAGACGCTCAACTGACTGAGCCACCCAGGCGCCCCTTTGTTTTAAATTAACCTTTTGACTTTGAGATAATTGCGGATTTACACGTAGTCCCAAGAAACAGGATGGAGAGATCCCACCGCCCTTTCAGTCCAATATTACAACCGGGTATTAGCATCCATAGGAATCAAGACACACAGCTTCTCCACCACCGTGAGAACCCTCCTGCTGTCTTTGCCAGCGACAGCCTCGTCATCCTTCTCTCCGCCCCTTCTCTGTCCCTCCAGACCACTAATCTCCTCTCCATCCCCATAGTTTTGTCCTTTCAAGCATGGCGTATAAATGGAATCGCGTAATACGCAACTTTCTTCCACTCTGCATTTTGCTCTTCAGGTTCACCCGAGTGGCTGTATGTGTCAATAGTTTGTTCCCTTCGACTGGTGAGGAACGTTCCATGTGCGGATGGGCCACAGTTTGTTTGCTCACCAATTAATGACATTTGGGTTGTTTCCAAGTTCTGGTTACGCAAATAAAGCCACTATAAATATTCACATGCGGGCTTACGTGTAAACACGAGGCGCCGTTTTTCTGGGACAAATACCCAGGAGCCCAATTGCTGGGCCGTGTGGCGGTTGCATGTTTTGTGTTTTGAGAAGCCGCCAAACTCCTTTCCCCTGGGCGCTGTACCGCTGGGCATTTGCACGGCAAGGCGGAGCCATCCAGTTTCTCCACCGCGTCCTCAGCTTGGTTGTTGTCACTATTTTTTATTTCAGCCACTGTGACGGGCGTACACGGCCGTCTTATTGTGGTCTGAAGGTGCACCACTCTGATGGTCCGCGGTGGTCCATTTGCCATCAGTATCTCCTCTTTGATGGGGTGTCTCTCCCTGTCTTTTGCCCATGCTCCAAATCGACTGGGTTTTGTTTCGTTAAAAAAAAAAATTGTTTTTTGAAGTTTATTCAGTTTTGAGAGAGAGAGAGAGACAGATTATGAGCAGGGGAGGGGCAGAGAGAGAGGGAGACACAGAATCGGAAGCAGGCTCCAGGCTCCGAGCTGTCCGCACAGAGCCCGACGCGGGGCTCAAACTCACGAACCACAAGATCGTGAACCGAGCCGAAGTCGGACGCTTAACCGACTGAGCCACCCAGGCGCCCTGACGATTTGCTTTCTTTCCCGTTGAATTTTGAGAGTTCTGCATATAGTTTAGATTCCAGTCGTCCGTCAGGTACTCGGTGTGCAAATATTTTCTCCTGCTCGAAGCCGGTCCGGTCCTCTGACCTTTTTAAGGCAGCCTCTCCCTGAGCAAAACTTTTAACTCTGATGAAGTCCCGTAGGTTTCTCCCTTCATGGGTTGCGCTTTGGGGCCCACGTCTAAGAATTGTTTGCTCGGCCCCAGATCCCCCAAATTTTCTCTTTACGTTTTATGTTGACGTCGCAACCTGTCATCCGTTTTGAGTTAATTTCTCCGAGTCTGCGTGTTGGTGGCATGTCGGCTGCCTTTCCTTTTTAGACAGAGGAACGTGTCCGAGAGCAAAAGGAGTGTCTCCTGGATGTATACAGGCTGCAGCCGCTCCTACACTCCTGTCACTTCTGTTCCTGTAAGTGACGCCCTCTGCAGCACAGGGGGGTCAGCGCCCCCCCCCCCCGGTTGCTTGCATGCTCAGGATTTTTAGCCTCTGTTGGGTGCGCAAGAGGACCAAGTGATTTATGTATTCAAACTAAGTGGTTTCCATCGAACGTTGGGTTCAGTGTGTAGAAATTGCGTATTTTGTTCCTACTACGGTACGAGTATTTGTTGGCTCACAACCGCACTCTTGAGTTTTTAATTCAGGAAACAGCCAACAGTTTCACTCAAAGGATCTGGAAGGGGTCACAGGAAGAGCGCTGCCTCAGTGTTTCCCAAAGTACGCTCCACGGAACCCGGCGGTACCCTGTGATCAAAGAGTTGTGTGGCCGCATAGATGTGGGACTGCCTCCTGTCTGTTCCCCTCCTTCGTCTTTGTAGAATCATGATTCTTAACGCTTCGTTAAAGGTTTTGAGAAGGTCTGCGATCGCTAAGTCTGTTTAGTGTTAACCCAGTGCTTCCCATTTATTTGACCTCTTGGCCTTGCTTTTATCAAGTGCAGAACATGTTTCTGGAACTGATTTATTCCAGCGTCTACATTTTAGACTTGTGGAAACTAAGGGCCCCAATGTTGAGGGCTTTGTGGGTCCCACGGGTGCAGGAGTGCACCGCGTGTTCCCGCCTAAGCACTCCGCCTCTCCTGCAGCTCCTGCTGGGGCGGATGGGTGCACCCCGCGCGCAGGCCCACCAGCGTCCCTGTCCCAGGCCGTGACGACAGCCCTGCAGTCTTAGCGCAGCACGGGGACCCCCCAAATACCGAGCAGCGGATTGCACAGGGAGAAAGACGGGGCACCAGAAGACCCCTGAACCGGCCCCATGTGGCCAGCACCCCGGTATTGGATGAAAACAGGGAGAAGCAGGGGGGGGGGGGGGGGGCCCCCCACGACTCTAGAGACATTTTGCAGCAAGAGTTGGGGACCCAATTAAATGGGGTCATATGTGCGTCCACTGGCTGCAAGAGACGAAGGCAGCGGGGGCCCGGCTTTTTCTGCTGGAGGATGAACCCTCCGGCCGCGCTGGGGAACACGGGGAAAGAGCCGGCGGGGAGGGAAGACGGGGGACAGGAGATGCGCCGGGCTTGGCGTTGCAGGCCCCGAGCTCGAGGGGGCAAGCGTCGCCGGGAGGCGCGGGAGGAGGGGGCGTCTGGGAGCCGCGGGGAGCGAGGGCCCCTGGCGGGAGACGGCGCCCCCTCGCCAGCAGGGGGCGCGCGCGCGGTCCCCGCCGAGAGGCGACACGGCGAGGCGCTGGGGACACCCGGGGTGGCCTGACCTTCCGCACAGGAGCCTTTGCTCCGAAGTTACCCGAGGCGGGCGGGCGTGCGCTCCAGGGAGCGGGCGCCGGGCGCGCGGACTGCGCCTTCCGGGCGTTTCTGGGGCCCAGACCGGACAGCACAGAGCCCCGCAGGGAGGCCCCGGATTCGGCGATTTCGGGCAGAAAATAGCGGGGGTGGGAAGAGGCAGGCCCGGAGCGGGCCCGTGGGAGTCGCGGGCTCACCTACCGCGGAGCCGTCACGTTCCTGGTTATCGTTTTCAATCTTATTTATCGTGCGATGCGCCGGGGGCGGGCAATGTATACAAAACGCAAGTGTGCGGCTTGAGACTCGCGACTGAGCGCGGAACCGCCGGAAAGAGCATCCCGCGCCCCTCCCCGGCCCCCCCACCCCCCACCCGCAGGGCCCCGCGCTTCGGCTCCCGGCCACCACCTTCTGGCTTCCCTTCGGCCTGTCACGACGTAATTATGCACCCGATTCTGTCACTTGCAGAGATGTGACCCTGCGGTGCTGGTCGCCCGTCGGGGGTGGGGTCCACCCACATCCAAGCGTCTCCTCCTCGCTGCGCTCCTCCATCGCCCGCTCCCGGCGGGCTGGCGGCTGTTGGGGTGGCACCTGTGCGTCTCCGCCCGCCACCCCCACCCCTCCCCGCGCTTCCCAGACACACTTGCCAGCTGCTCGGCGACCCGGGGCCGTGGGTCAGCCTCTCCGGGCACCGCCAAGCACCTTTCTCCAAAGTACTGGTTCACACCCGGACGATTAACACTCTCGAGAAAACGAAGCTGTGCATCCGAGGAGCCTGGCGAGGGGTGACGTTACAGGTTCTGACCCGCCAGGGGCTGTGTCACACACCGAGCTACGGATTGGGGACCACACGCAGATGGAAGTGGGGAGCCAGTGAAGGGTGTTGAGCACTGGAGGCACAAAGTCAGATGTGTGATCACACGAACGACGACTGTGGCTGGAGAGCCAGGGCTTTCCACGTGGTCCAGGCCACCTTGAGGACTGAGGGTGCTCAGCAGAGGACGGGAGAGGGATCCACGGGCAACCGGGAGGCTGATGCCACGGCACGGACCCCGTTTCTGTCAATGATTTGGTGAAGATCGATGTCCTTTTCAGTTTCTCTCTGGAGGAAATCAAGGTTTTCTGGCGCTTATTTAGGGATGTGCTTGAGGATTGCAAAGAACTAGCACCCCCCCCCCCCAAAACCTATTTAGGATGCTACGCCCCTTGCGGGCAGGACTCTTGGTAGATTTTGCACCACCCTGGGCAGGAAGAACACTCCGTTCCTTGCACCCAATATGCAGATGACACGTTTACAGGACGAAGTATGTTAAAACGACGAGCAAAACTGGATTGTGTTTCACCTTCAGACTTGGCGTCACCCACCAACTAGGAGAGAAGGGAGACGGCTCCCGCACGGCTTCGCTGGAAAAGCCCCGAAAACAGCTGGACCCAGGGCTTCAGAAGGATGGGCGAGGATTTGGGGAGGAGGGAGAACCTTCCTAAGAACACGGGAGGTGAGTGCAGACGTCCGCAGCAGCACGATGGGGAGGAAAGGCCCCGCGAGAACAATCTGGGGAGGCGCCTGAGCGCTGGAAGGGGCCGTGGGGTTTGGTGTTCCGGTTGCTGGCGCCTAACATCTCCTGAAAACTTACTGTTCACGGCTGGGTACGTGCATTATCTGGGTTCCCGGCCGGGAGGTGGCGGTGTGGTCGTGTGCGAGGGCCAGCAGGCGTTCAAGTTCAAGCTCCGGGCTGGGAGCTAGCTTCCCGACATTCATGTTTCCGTAATAACTTAAAAAAAAAAAAAAAAAAAAAAGCCAGGCTGGGGCGCTGGGGCGCCGGGGCGCCCGGACTCCAACAGCTCGGCCGCACCGTGCCCCCGTTCCCCCCGGCCGAGGCAGGGGGCCGGGGGTGGGGGTGGGGGTAAGGGCCGTGCGCCCCCCACCCAGCCCCCGTCTCCCGCCCCCCGCGGGCAGCCAGAATGCGCTCCCCCACGCGCGCGGGGGCGGCGGGGACAAGGGGGTGTTTTCTTTCTCCCGGCCTCAGGGGCGATGCCAGGCTGGCCCGCCCCGCCCAGTCGGCGACCACGTCGCTGCTCTGAGTGGCTGCGAGGGGTCCCCCGCCCCACGTCCGCCCCCGCGGCGGGGGCCCCAGCGCCCCACGGGCCCG